GTATTAAAACTGAGGGAAAACGACAGTTGTCACCGATAAATAAGTAAAAACAGGGAAAGGTGAGGTGAGTTGTTACAGAGGGACCACTTGAATGCAGTGGTTAAGCTCATGCCCAGATACGTAGGCAGTGACTTCATACTCATTTTTCAGTGCACGTCCAGTGGCCGTCGCTTCTGTATAAGAATGGATATATCGCCAAGAAAACGAACATGCTATCATCTAATTTCGCTGCATACGCGTTAACGAATAATACAGACATGTGAGGAGACGTGTTTAATGTCAGTGCTTGTCAGTGGGCTGCTCTGTTTTGGATTATTTGCTGTTGAAATACGTTTTTTCCAGAGCCGCGGTGCGTTCACTTACTATCATACTGCTTAAAAATGAAGATGGGCTGTAACAGATGATGGTGATGGTGATGATGGAGGTACGATCGATTACAGATGGTAGGTAATGTTTTCTCATCGCATAGAGTATTAGATACATTAAAAACAGCAATACACATATTTCCTCTGGATTTAAGCAGACGCTGTGTGTGTGTGTCTGTGTGTCTGTGTGTAAGGTATAATTGGCCAAATGCAGTGGTGCATAGCTATATCCTACTGTACCTTGTGTCCAACATGTCACCGCTCCATATTAAAAATGTACCTATTTACACCTCAGGCTGACTTTGCCTCACTCCCTTTCATCATCTATGAATTTAGGCCTGTTAAATGTGATCTACTGCACAGCATTAAAGCTAATATATGACTTTGTATCCTCTGTAGCACTCTACCAAGGTGGCAGCATTGGCACAAGCAGCAGATGCTGTGATCATCATGTACTCCGTCCATACACGAGGAATAACACTGAAATTGATGACTGTGGGATCCTTATAAATTGTTAATAATACAATGAACACCACTGTTACACCATCAGACCTGGTGGATGTGCCAAGACAGCAGACCTTCAATGGCACCCTGGGCACGACCCCATCAGGCTGGGCCGTGATTCACACCGCCACCTTGACCTTTTGCTCCCTCCTGCTCATCTTCATCTTCTGCCTGGGCTCCTACGGCAACCTGGTGGTGTTCCTCTCTTTTTTTGACCCCATGTTTCGCAAGTTCCGCACCAACTTTGACTTCATGATCCTCAACCTGTCCTTCTGTGACTTGTTCATCTGCTGTGTGACTGCTCCCATGTTTGCGCTGGTGCTCTTCCTGGATGCAGGTGGAGGGGACGGCGTGTCGAAGAGTTTCTGCTTCGCCTTCCACTTGACCAGCTCGGGCTTTATCATCATGTCCCTGGAGACGGTGGCTGTCATTGCTTTGCACAGGCTGCGCATGGTGTTGGGGCAGCAGCCAAACCGCACCGCCTCCTTCCCCTGCACGCTGGCGCTCACTGCGCTGCTGTGGACGTCCAGCTTTACCATGGCGGCTCTCCTTACAATACGAGCATACCCACGTAGAGATGGACCCTGCTTGCCCCACTTTGGCCTGGGAGGTGGACAGGCCAGGGTTGTGTTGTATGTCTACCTAGCAGACTTTGCCTTTTGTGTCGCTGTGGTGTCTGTGTCCTATCTGATGATTGCTCAGACACTGAGGAAGAACGCACAAGTGAGGAAATGTCCTGTCATCACTGTAGATGCCACATGCCCTCCACCCCCACCACCTCTCATTGCAGCAGGCTTTGAGAGCATGCAGTGTGCTGTTCAAGGCCCCTCTCTGTACCGTAACCAGACTTACAACAAACTGCAGAACGTTCAGACACACTCTTACATTAACAAGACCAGCCAGCCTCTGGTTCCAGGCGCTGCCCAAGGAGCCACCTGCTGTCAGCTGGTGTCTACAGTCAACTTGGCCACTGCCAAGGACTCCAAGGCAGTTGTCACCTGTGTAGTTATAGTGTTCTCTGTGCTGCTTTGCTGCTTGCCCATGGGAGTTTCACTGGCACAGGATGTTCTGTCACCAGAAAGTAGCTTTGCACATTACCAGTTTGAACTGTGTGGCTTTGTGCTCATTTTCCTCAAGTCGGGCATCAATCCTTTTGTGTACTCACGCAACAGCGCAGGCCTCCGACGCCGTGTGCTGTGCTGTGTTCAGTGGGCGGCACTGGGCTTTCTCTGTTGCAAGCAAAAGACTCGTCTGCATGCAATGGGGAAGGGCAGCCTGGAAGTCAATCGCAATAAATCCTCCCATCATGAGACCAACTCGGCCTATGTACTGTCACCCAAGCCACAGAGGAGGCTGGTAGACCAGGCCTGCGGGCCCAGTCACTCCAGGGATTGCGCTGGTAGTCCAAGGGCCACAGGTGCGCGCAAACCTCGCCCCCCAAGTACCTCGACACCTATCAACACCCGCATTGAGCCCTACTACAGTATATACAACAGCAGTCCCTCTGCAGGGCCCAGCTCCCCCACCAGCCTGCAACCTGTCAGCTCTCAGACGTTTGCCTTCGCCAAATCTTATGTAGCCATGCACTACCACACTCACCAAGACGCACTACAAGACTTTGAAAGCACCTCAGTGCACCAGATTCCCATTCCCTCAGTCTAATCACAGAGCTGCTAAACAGAAAGGTTTGGACAATGTTGACATGGCTTTAAATCAAATATGAATCAAAAGACGAACATAAAAACAGCCCATTTTATGTATTTGAAATCTGTATTAACCTTTTGTTCTCTTCTACAGTGGAAATACATGTTATGTTTTCTTGAGTGGACAAATTAAAGAACCAGTATTATAAGCCTTGCCATGAGACTAAAGACAAGCAATAGATTTGTAATGGAAGTGTCTGTTCTTTTACAGATATTGCATTTTCTCATAAATCTGCCCGTGTTGCACAAGCATGTGCCAATATAACCCAAGGCTCCGTAGGTTTTCATTGCAGCCAAAGACTGCAGTTGCTAGATCACTGCTGTTTTCTCTCTGGCTGAAGTTGCTGAAGTTGCTGAGCGCTGATATAAGCTGCTGTAGTGTCGGGCTGCTCTGAAACCCTGCACAGGCCCACACATGGCTGTTGATGGCATGTGGTTGCACTTTGATGAACTTTTGCTTCTTGAGAGAAATGTGTTTGTGAACCTCATACACTTTTCAACACAATAAATGTTTGGCAAGTGCAATGGATCTGTGCTTTCAATTTTTTTTTTTTCTTGAGCTATTGATTAGTCGATCAACAGAAAATTAATGAGAAGCTGAGTCAACGTTTCTTTCATTTTTTTGAGAACAAATGTCAAACTTTTGCTGGTTACAGATTTTCAGATGTTAGCATTTGATGCTTCTCTTAGTCATATGATAGTGAAATTTGTATCTTTGGGTTTTACTGTTGTCAGACAAAAAACATTTGAAGATGTCACCTTATAAAACATAATAACCATTGTCCACTATTTTCTGATATTTTTAAGACAAAACAAAATCAAGAAAAATGGCAGATTAATTGCTTATAAAAATAATAATTAGTTGCAGCCCTAGTTTTATTATTGCTAGCTGTGTCAGTAGCTATAATGAAATGATCGTAATGCTGGCTGCTTGACAGTATTTCAGGCCCGCTGGGACTGAACACCTGATGTTAAATGAGAATACCACCTTAAGTAAGAATGCCAGTATGTTATTTACATGGCCTGGATAAGTTCAATCATTATATTTGTAATCATGAGCTACTGTCTTTTAAAGCCATAAAATACAGATTTAAGTCTCAAACTTGTGATGTCATTAAGCATCAAGTCTGGAGCTGCTCCATAGACAATGAATGGAGCCTGATTTTGTGGATCCACAGAATGTGTTTTATAACTAGCCTAAATGAGCTTTAGTCTGTTGTAGTGTTCTCAGCTCTGAAACAGAAAATGTACCCATATACTCACAACATTCCCCTGGGTGCTGTCATTATCGTCTCTAACATTTCTCCAAATTCATTGTCTGTGGAGCAGCTCCAGACTTAATACTTGATGACATCACAAATTGAAGTTTTAGCACTCTAGTTTTTGGATTTTAGAGGGATCGGTTCATGTTTACTAATATTTTTGGACTGTATTAGACCACAGGAATAACATGTATGAATTCTGAAAATGGGCAGTTCCCCTTTAAGAATGTGAAAACAACATACTTGTGTTATATTAAACCCAAAGTGATGATAACTCAGAGAAACAACACTGTTTGAATTGGCATTTTATGTCTCACAACCAACACTACATTATTCTGTTTTTTGATATATTCATGTAAGTGATGGAATCTCAGATTATTTCCAATTATGTCCACATCCACACACAAATGTTGACGTGGTATTCTTTACATTATACCCTGAGGTTACAGATGAAGCTTTGCAGTGTCTGATATTTTTTTTAAAACTAAAAATCACTGCGATTAGAAATAGAAATAACTGCAGTGGTCGCTGTTCAGCACCTCAGTGTAAATTAGAGTGGTGTTAATTATTTTGCAGCTCCAGTTGTTTTCATTTAGATAAATGAAAGGAAATAAAAAGGTTTTCACAATTGGAAAGGATTATATATACGTTATACTATACACACAGCGTCAGTACCCTCTAGTGGCCTTCAGTGTAACTACATGTCCATCAATGAAGGCTCAACACACTTTATGCTCTTTCCAGGAGGGACATAACAGACTCATTATTTTATATGTGCTTCTCATGGTAATAAATACCAAGGAAAACCTCTTGCTTTGAAAGATATACATACAGTCATTAAGAGGAGACATTTATTGCTGATTCACTGCTTTTCTGTTGCAAAGAGCAGCTTTGGTCCTGGTTTACTTCCTGTCAAGACTGCATTAACAAACATTCGACCAGGAAATACACTTAAGCCCATTTAAAATGTTTATTTTGGCAAGTTTTAAACAGTTTATAGACCAACACAAACACTGTAAATGGGTCCCAGTGTATTTCCTGTTGAAATGTTTACTTATGCTGACAGGAAGTACACAGGGATTAAAGCTGTTGTCCTTGAAACAGAACAGCAATGAAAAGGTCTATATCGCAAATGTCTTTCCTGTGTAGTAATGCAACACCATATATGAGGTTTCACATTTCAGTTTTTATTCTTTGCTGCAAATGCATTGGTTTGTATCCCTGTGATACAGCAGTGATCAGGCTCCCAGTGCGCATCTTCATAAAACCACAGAATACCTCTTACAGGAACCCACAGACATTCTGCACAGCCAACAAACTTACAGGGAATTTTAATCAACCACTCACCTCTGTTGCTATTCCACAGCACCGTCTAATGCATAAGTTACACTCACTCATCCTGTAAATTAACACGATACTCACTCTCACAGCTGCTAAAACATTTTCACACTTGCTTTTTGCATATCTACAAGTACAAAGTGCCAGGGTCAAGCAGCTAATCATTTCATACCACACTCACACACACACTCAAACACAAAAATAAACTTTAAAGACAATAAAACCACCACGAACGATGTGATTCTCCTGATGATTATGAATCCCCTGATTCATCACTCCTTTGCTTGCAATCAATCAACACAAAGTGAAGCATAGATATGGGGTACAGGCAACAAATCCACTGCCTTGTGGAGCGAGGCGTCCATGTTTTCACAAAGTCTGAGCAAGTCTGCTGGATCAGGCTGTGATGTAGCACTACCCATTGCACAGATAAGGGCATGAGCTGAGGCCATGCTCCCTGGCTACGTCAAGTCCAGCCTCGGGACCAAGTTTCACCTCGATTTTGGCTTTTAGCACAGTGTCATGGGCATCTCTCTTCCTCCATCAAACAGGCTTCTGTTTTATGATAACTGTCCTCTCTCTTCAAGTGCTCCTTCCTCTGTACGTCCTCTCTTTGTCCTTCATGCGCCGTTGCTGTCATATGATATTTGTCAGTTTAGCTGGAGATTGACAGAAGTCCATATTCATCAGCAGTGTCAAGAATCCTGCATATGACCGGAGACTCAACCTAGGGGGAAAAAACACCAATGTCAATCACCTTAAATGTGGTGACAATCATTATAGGCCTCCTGACTGCACACAAGAATTGATTTGTTGTCAACTACTAAATTAATTGCCAACTAATTTGATAATTGGTTTGAGTATTTTTTACAACTTCTCTGATTCCAGCTTCCTTAATGAGATTTTTATTATTGTAAAGGGAGTATCTTTGGGTTGTGGACAAAACAAGACATTTGAGGACATCATCTTGGCCGCTGGGAACACTTATCAACATTTCCCGCCATTTTCTGACATTGTTTAGACCAAACAACCAATCAATTGACCTTTTGCTAGGCCCCGCCCTTTTGTGATGTGGGCTGTGGGCTCCATGCTTAGTCTGACACTAAGCATGGAGCCCACAGTGTCACTAACTGCAAAAAATATTAGCATAATTTTGGGAAAAATGAAACAGTGATTCCAGAGAGAAGCAGACAGAGGGGTCTACAGTCTGTGTTTGAAGGATATATCCAGGATGTCAAACTGACTCAGCAGCAACAACAGGTTAAAAAGACAAAGATAGTTAGAAGCTAAAGCCGAACTATAGGCTACAGATCACAGTGTAAAAGTGAACCACCACATCACTGCTGATCGCCACAGAAGACAATGAATATAAAGGGAAACTTTGCTGATATTGAACCAGCTGGGTGGCATCGCAGTGTGTGCAGATGAACAGTGTTTGGCTTTGCCAGAGGTCTTTGGCAGAGGCAGAGGTCCTGGTGCTGCTGCCAGCACCCAGACCTTCGCCACCGGATGGGCAGGGATCTCCAAGGGAAGCCAAACACCCTCCATCTGCGCACAATGCGATGACACACAGCTGGGTGAATATCAGCAAATCCCTGCTTCCCTTCACTGGTTCCTGTACAGCAGTGTCGGTCTTTTTTTTCACTATTATAATCATTAAAAAGCAAAAGCAGCATGTGTATACATTCAGTAGGCTATATCTTCAGTAACTAGCTAGCTAACCCTACACTTTTCAGGGTTTGATTTTTGTTTTGGAACAGGGAAGAAACGTATATCTTTTTCCAACCTCTCCAGGTAACGAGTATCATTAATACACGACGTGCCCCAGGCACAACATTTAGCTTCAAATCCTCAAAACCAGCCTGAAAATGAAGAAAATCTGAAACAACTGCATTAGAGTCACAGTTGTGTTGTGGACAAATAAAAACAAGTTAGCGTTGCCCAAACACCTACATATGTTTGGACTTTCCGTTTATTTAGCTCTCCAAACTGAAGTAGAGTTTAGCACTCAAGCTAAGGTTCAGTATTAACCTGATACAGCTTTTTTTTCCAGTAACTGCGACTCATTGGTTACTAGAGAACTTACCCCGAGGATGTACTGACAAGTCTGAGGCTCCAGCATATAGACAGTGACAGCATGGGGAGACTCAGACTCCTTACATCTGACAGAGAGAGGGGGAAAAGAGACGAGTGAATCAACTAGGAAACATCGGGGGTATTGTTATACTCATGTGTTGACTCAGGGCAGTGACACTGAGCTGGCGCTGTGGTTCCTCCCCCGCCCATGACTGTTCACTCACTTGAGCTTGACAATGACCTGTCTGGGCTTCCCTGTCAGATCACACACATCCCCGTGGCCATAGAAGTGGGAAACCAACCTGCCAAGGAGTGGAGAGGATGAACAGAGAGAAAAATCAACAACAATCTCAGTTTAATTTGCATCCAGATGAGGATTCAACAATATGAATGGCTTACTTGACTTTCTGCACGCCATCATCTTTGAGCTGGTAGGATCTGGCAACGTTCTTCTTGGCCCACTCCATGTGCTCCAGGGCGTTCCAGTTCCCGACCACCACAATATTCTTTCCTTGCTCTTTATCCTGCGGCACAGAGGGACATTTTCATCACTGTACAACTGCAATCTAATGTACCGGACAATCCTATATATACAATTAAAATAAACCAATTATGCAATTACACATTTTCTGTTAGCTAATGTTTATGTAGTTAAAGCAGAGCCAAAACACTTATGTGATAAATCAAGTGGCAGAAAATGAATTGCCATCTATTTTGGATATGTTCATTTTTGAGGCAAAGATGGCAAAAGTTCCTCATTTCCAGCTTCTTTATTGTAAGTATTTGCTACGTGTCTTTGCCTTATGCAATAACAAACTGCGTGTCTTTGGGTTTTGGACTGGTAGGGCCCGATATGACAGTGTGTTCTGCAGGGTGAAAAATGCGAGGCGCACCACTCTGCCACTCTTTATTGAAGCCGTCCCCGATCAGACAAAGCACGTTTTGCAGCTAGCTGCATCTTTTTTGAATTGTTACTAGGCAACCACTGAGTCACCTGTCTTTAGCTTAACTTGTAATTAGCTATGAAGTAAACTCACAGATCTGTATTGTAAAATCTGCATGAAGAAAAGACAGGTGGAAGGCTGTGATTCAGGGTGAGAGGCTGTTACCAAAAAGTACCTTGGTAACAGGGAAATGGAGATCTGTGTGTGTACATGAGACCCTCAGAAAGAGGAGAAATCACAGGGAGTACCATCAGCTGGTCCAGGAGCTTCACCTGGATGATGGTTGGTTCAAGTCTTATTTTTAAGCCAAGTTTAGCCCAATGATTCCAAGCGAGATGAAACTGTTTTAGAACATTGCGAAGAAAAGTTGCAGTGGTGTGGCCTTGGCATCTGAGTTTGACTCAACCTGGCTGATGGTGTCATCTGCAACTCAGCTGGTCAAATCACCAGCGCTGGTTCTAAAACGTAAGACACGTCACCTGTTTCTACAGCAAATCAGGTTGTACTGAAGTCTGCTGCTCAACTCAGAATGACCACAGAGGGCATGTTTGCTTGCTACAGCAGGTGCTCTGTCCCCGCTGAGCCCTCTCTTTCAGTCGCTGCTGCTGCTCGCTGTATGTGTGTATTATGAATACAGTCCACCTGATGCTTGTTTTGTTTTTCATCACTACTACAAATGCAACTGTAACCAGTATCTCACAATCACTATCCTCATTCATATTTTAAAAAGCTACAAATTACATTCATCCACAAAATAAGCCTGAAAAGCTGCAAACAGACCGGAGGTACAGAGAGTTGTTGCACAGAGATGATACACCGTCTCATCTAGTTGCTTAAGTGTGAACCGGCAGGGTGAATCTTTGGTCTGAACCAGGCTTAAGATAAGCCGGGGACAGTTTGACAATTTGCTGTCGAGTTGACAGTTTGTTCAGATATGTCTTGCAGCTTTCCTAGTGCCACTTTGAAAGTGAGCCGATGTTAGTCTCATACAAACCATGCACGTTGCTACTATTTGTTATCGCTACCACAGAAGGGCCACATCTCAATTCATGTGATTGGACAATAGGAAAAAACAGCAATGATGTTAAGCGCTTCTTCCGCTTTGAGTTTAAGTTCTTTTTAGCTCGAAGTGTTCAGGGTAACCCTACAAAAATGCAAGCCGCATAGAGCGGAAGAATGTGAGGTGCTCAGCGTTGCAAAAACAGCGAGTAAAATGCTTCACTCTCATTGAAAACAATTACAAAAAATCACCCCAGGCTGCTAAAAGGAACTGTGTCTGATTGGGGCCAGACAAAACAAGAAATCAGAAGACAGCCCTTTAGGCTTTAGGACACCTATTCTTTTCACATTTTATAGGCAAAACAATCAGTAAATAATTGGCAAATTGATTGATAATGGAAATAACTGTTAGTTACAGCCCTACAGTCTAGTTTACCAGCTTAAACTAATACTAAGAATACATTTCCGTTTTTTTTCCCTGTTAAAGGGTTTTTTTTGGGGAGTTTTTCCTTATCCGCTGCAAGGGTCATAAGGACAGAGGGATGTCGTATGCTGTAAAGCCCTGTGAGGCAAATTGTGATTTGTGATATTGGGCTTTATAAATAAAAATGAAATTGAAATTGAATTGAAATTTTATTTTTTAGATACTCCACATAAATCACCCAGCTTCCACACTGACACACTCACACTAACAAGGAGGGACTCTTACCTCATGGTACTGATGGACATGCTTTCCATAACAGAATTCATATTTCCACCACCCGACCCCCTGAAACACACACATCAAGAGGATTATATGTCCCTGTGTGGTTTATGAAACACTGCTCAGGTGGTTTAGATGGAGCATGCCTCACCCCATGCAGACAGTATGAGCCACTGAGGAACTCCTTGATCAGCTGGTCATCCGTCAAGCGGGAGATGTGAGTGGTGCCGACAGTGACCTGAGACTGTCCTCCCACAGTCATGGGTTTGTGAGTGGAGGTGAAGGCCTCCTCTCTCACTGGTGACGTATCCTCCTGTAACACGTCAAAGATATAAATGAGCCAGGTGTCGCCAGTACAGGCAGTCCCCATTTGTCCCCTCTGTCATACTCATGCACATGTCTCACCTCTCTGGTCTCGGTGGTGGCGCTGAAAGGTGGTTTAAGCTGCTCCTCTTGCTCCTTATCCAACTGGGCGAGCCGACGAGGCCGCAAAGGGGAGCCAGCCAGAGCCTGGCAGAAGATGGCGTTCACTGGGGAGGACTTGAACCTACAAGGAAACAGTTAGATTAAGAAAATGCACACAAGACGTACACATACTTCTAAGATGTATTTCCACCTACCTGTATTTTGGGTGTGCGCAGAGCAGCGGAGTCAACACCACCACCTCATATTCACAGGTAGTGACCTCAGCGACCGACAGGATCTCATGCTTGGCCTCCGGATGGCAGACGTACAGCACAGACGTGGAGCGAGCCTCGTTCTGTTTCAGCACACAAGGAGTCCCGTTACCCATCTCCAACGAGAAGTAGGGAGTCAGCTGGCCTTCTATATTCTTAGTGGGCACCTGGACACAAGCGGGAAGAGTGAAGGAGACAAAAAATAGACACGACAAATGTGAGAACTGACAGCTGGCCTGACAAATATGGTTGGTTACTGAAGTTTCGTTTTCGAGTTTCATTATACTTACTTCAGTTTCAGCTGTTGATTTAACTTATTCTGTCTCTTCAACTTTATCTAAAAAATAAGAGATTATTTAGCTTTAGCACCATAAAGAAAAGATGAATACATTGAATAACATATTTCTAACAATATCATAAAGTTTCGTTCACAAATGAACTCACCTGTCTCTGTTGACTGGCTCTTCTGTGCCATATTACCCAGGAAGTACTCCTGAACGTTAATCTTCTGTGGAAACACACATGATAAGTGCTCACTTCTCACTCATGTCATCTGAAAATGATTTTACCCTCTAATAACACTGACCTGGCCAGTCTCCTTCTCTTCATGATACTGTCTTATATGCTTTCCATGACATACTTCATATGTCCAGTATGACTCAATCTGCAATGTTGGCAAGGCAAGAGTGAGTTTAGAGTCATGCATGACCAAACACCATCGTTCACCACAGCAGAAACTTAACATCAAGTTTTTAGTTATGCTCTGCTAATGTAGCGTGAAGTCCATCTGAACACAGTTTCAGTCTCTCTGAGAGCGGTAGGGAAATCAGAGGGAAATAAAAGTGAAACTCGTGAGGTCTCACCCTGTAGGAGCAGCTGCTTCGTTTGAATAGTGGATCCAGCAGTTCAGCCGGAGTGGGCCCACTGTAATCTTTATCGTCATCCTAAGTCGACAGAATACACCAAAGAAATACATTAAGGGTGACGGAGATAAGACAGCGTATAAGAAACAGGAGCAATAAAAAACAAATGAAACAAACCAAAACAAAAAAATAGCACAACACAGATTAGCATCACAGAATTCAACTGAACAGAACAGACACTGCTATCCACAGGGACGCTCTCCCTCTGGGGTTTACATGCCATATTTAGAAAATGTGGAATCTTACGCAGGTCATTCAGATCCTTTTGTTGGACAGCTACATCTTTTTTAGATGCAAAGATATGATGGCCAAAGATATAAAACAAGTCACAAACTGCAGCTAAATTAAAGGAAGATATTGGTTCGTCTTGTCCCTGTTAGAGGTTTTTTTGGGGGGGAAGCCCTGCGAGTCAAAATGTGATATGTAGTATTGGGCTTTGTCAATAAAATTGAAAATTGAATTATGCAATTGAGGATGCAGCACAGACTGCACATCTCTCAGTGTATGCAATGCAGTGTAGTACAGGGAGTTACTGAAATGTTTCAAGACTGAAGGAGCAGAGTTGTGTCATACCTTTTTTGTAACATTACTAAGGGTTCACATGTCTAAAAAGAAACTCTCTAAGTCATGGTAGAAAACTTAAATCTAACCTTTTATCCTGCTAACAGCTGCCAAGCAGACACTGCCTGCTACTTTAAGAAATTTTCATACGACTAAATGAATATTTATACACATCCTTTTCTTGTGGAAGCCTGAAACCAGACCATGAAAGTAATGAAATAAAGGAATAATAAGACAGCGTAACACTGCTGTTGTCTGTGCCGCCATCCCCACCACTTACAACATCACAACTAGTTTGCACTATTTTTAGCCCAGGTTATACATATATATATCATACTCATTCATAATCATTTACATACATATGCACATACCCACATCCTCATTTTATTTTTACTGTGTAACAAGCCTGTGCAATTTCCTCACATGCAATACTGTAACCACTTACTGTGCAATCATATCCAGATATTTCTGTATTTTTACAGTAATGACAGTTATAACACACCATGTGTGTATCTTACTTCATATCTGTAATGAGTTTGTAACTATTACCTGTGGAAGCAATAGAAATGCTGATGGCTTACCTCATCTCCTGATGTCAGAGAAGGCAGGAGACATTTATACTTCTCCTTCTCTGCTGTTGTCATAATGACAAAGTCATCTTCCTTGTACAGTACACCTGACGTTGGCTGAAATCCACAGACAAAGGCTTGTTACTTACACTGTAACGTAACAGTAATGAAGACAGAGGAAACTATCTGTGAACATAGCTAACTATAACACCCCCCAACCTCTTACAGTAAATTTGCTCCCCGAAAAACTTTTCCTAAAAAGGGAGACATACCAGCGTGACTTCAGCGCCTGGCCAGTTGATTTTAAAAGGGATTTCATCTGTAAAGGACGGGTACCCTCCTCTGTTTGCTGAGACGCCGCTGCAGACCTCCAGCAGCCCTCCGACCATCACCACCAGCAGCCCAGCCGTCATGTCTCCTGTCCGGCTGCCGAGCTCCTTCAGCCCGCTCCTGGTGTAAGATAACAGCCGGCTCACCTCACCCTAACTGCGGCCTGAATGATGAATTAAAAGCTACTACAAAGTCCGAGCAAATGTGGTTTTGACAGACGAAGGATATGTCTGTATGAGACGGATGTCAATACAACACAAATTACAGGAAGTGAACTGTTTACTTGCCACGTCGTGTTCCGCCTCTGCGATGGGCTGAAAGAACAGCAGCGTCCTCTGGCGGTGACTCCAGGTACTGCAAGAGCGTTTGGCACCCTGAAAAGCAAAAACAAACCCATTAAACCAGTGTAACCTTAAAAGTTTGGGGACCAAACTAATAGGCTACCAACTTTTTTCTTTAGTAAACCACAGTTGTAAAATATTGTTGTTGTTTTTTTGTATATTTTTTTCTACTGCCAATATGCATTCCCGCCTCAAGTCAATGTGGCAACAACTTTAAATACCTATGACCAAGTTTTGCCCTAGGAATCATATAAAATACAAATTTTGCATTCACTCTGTAGCAATTGTGTGAATTACACTGTACAGCCTTATTTTGCATGCTATATTAAAAATGTTTGCAGCATCACTGATCATTTCCAGTCAATACAAAGCATTAACCACAAAGTCATCACTCAGATTCACAGAACCTTATTTTCAGTTCTAGTTAAAATCCCAAAATGTCTTAAGATACCAGCTATGCTCGGCTAAATGATGTGAGAATAAAGAATCTGTTCCAGAATCAGATTATGTTTTTACATCCATAAAGCTAGAGAGGAAGAACTGGATTTTAGGGTGTTTGTGAATGGTAACATATACAATTCAACTTCAAAAATAAAGTTAATACAGTACAATATATGTATTCATTATTCATTATCCACCACTCATACTGCAGAGTTGCGAGAGGGCTGGAGCCTATCCCAGCTCACAGTGCAATATATGCCAGTATGAAAAAATATATGTGAAGTATGAGCAGCAGGTCATTCCACATTTCATGAGCCATGAAGGCAAAAATAAATAATTTTCTAGTAGTATTTTCCATAATGATGCTGTTAAAAGTGAACAGAGTTTTTATCCACCTCAAAATGCATATTAATGCACAAGGAAACTGGAAATAGATTGCCAAAATGAAAACAGTTTACTGCATCTGACTGTTTTGCTATAAACAAAGCACCATGTACGTCTCTAGCTGATCAACAGAAGGTCAGTAAAGTGAATATTTCAGTGATCTAAAATGTGAAATTTACTTCCCTCCTTTTCATCAGTGAAACACAATTTCCCCGATGTCTTGCTAAACCCAACCACATCCTCATATGCTGAGAATAGTACTCATAAAGAATCCATTGAACGCAGACCACAGCTCGCCTGAAGCATTTGGTTCCTTTTGAGTTGAGATGCTAGAGAGAGGTTTCCAGATCATGCAGGCATAAAACAAAGGCAGATTGCCTCATCTCTGCCTCGTAGTGGATGGATTTGGAAGTGTGTGTGCTATAAAACATAGAGCTGATGTTTTAGGGTGTCTCACAATTAATAGTTTTATCGGGACTCCATGCAGAACTGAAGGTGAAAGGCAATATGAAGATACGACGTGTGATAGATCCTGCTGAGAAGCCGATTTACTGAGCATTGCCTAGGTTATGTCGGTTGACTTATATACAGGCCATGACGAGAGTAGTTCTGTGCCAAACGTGCAGTGTCCTTACTCCTTTCTCCTGTGACTCTGTTGATTCAGCAGTGTTGTGTGTTGAATGAAAATAAATAATGCCCCCCCCCCTCCAACCTGAGCAGTTCACATAGAAACAGCTCTCAGTTAACAGGAAATTTAAAGCATGGACCTTGAAAATGTGTGGTGTTGCATTTCACTTTCAGGGGGGAAATGTGGAGAGTGCCTTGGACTGATTGAGTGTAAACCTGAGATGGGCATTTTTTTCCCCACCTGTTGGTGGAGCTGTTGACATGAGAATGTGCAGCGCAGGAAGCAGGAGAGAAGAGAGAGATTTGAGCAGAGATTTTGAGACAAAGAGTGAGAGGATTAGGAGGAGAAAGGGATATGGAGGAACAGGGAAGGATACAAGCGAGAGAACATCCCACTAGATCATCCACCCTCTGCAACCACTCCCCGTGTACATACATACAGCTTCCACTGACACATCTGCTATGTAAACACAACATATGGATGTAAATATTTATGTGCACACCACCACCCTGTATATGTGTGCAGAGTAGCTACATACTGTATATGATTATAACAGATAGATAGATAGATAGATAGATAGATAGATAGATAGATAGATTTAGTTTCCATGGTAACAATTACTTTGCAATTTTAATTATGATTCTGACAGCATTTTTCTGGTCTTGTTTCTGGTTTATCTGATAAAAAACGTAGATAGTTATGATCACATATATCTCTCAACTCATCTGTAGAAATGTTTCAGAAGAAGATTGATGAACTTTCATGTCTGTACAAAAAATATAAAGCTATACCCTGCAGCTGGTTAGCTTAGCTTAGTATAAAGAGTGGAAAAAGGGGGCAGCAGGTGGGGGAAATACTCCCCTCTACCCAGAATGTTTCTTAAGAGCCACAACAGGGCTCTTTTTCTTTTGCCGAGTAGTTTCCACACTTACTTTGGGAGTTTCAGCATCCACCATTTCTGCTACTGGAGATAGTAACTGCAAAGGACTTACACGATTCTCTTTTGTGAGAATGAATAGATACTGATAGCTACTGGAAAAGAAAATAAGAGCGCTATCCTCTTCCTGTTTTGGTTGTGCAATGGTTAATGCACTTCCTTTGTGCTGTAAATAGAGCGCAGCAGGGATGATGGGTTTTTTTTGGAAGCCGACGTAATAAGTTTGCGTCGCCCTGGTTCCCTTGTCAAGAAGCCTATGGGATTTTTCCATTGGATTTTGGATAGTCACAGAAAATAACAGTTTATGATACCAACTGATTTCGAGACATTTTGGTTGCGCAATGGTTGATGCACTACTTTTGTGCCGTAAATCAAGCCTTAATTTCCTCGGGTGATTGTACCTGGTGCCAGACAGAACTGCGCATAGAAGCGAGGCTTATAGGGAACCAGTCTAAAAGCTGATGTTGTCATTAGCCATTGTGTTACCTTACATTGTGCAAGCAACCTTGTTTTCATAATGAGAGGTGAGCCTGAAGAAAAACACTTGTCTGTTTCCACCTAAAACAGCAAGTTGTTGTTGTTACGCTTGTTTTTACAGTTTGCTGAACTGACTAAATAAGATATAACATTAATCAGTGAGCTCTATGGGTGCTTATGCTAAGCTAACTTGCCACTGTCTCCAGCTATATGGTACAGACAAGAGTGTGGTATCGATCTTCTAATCAAACTCTTGACAAGATGACATATCACCACACCTCATAAAAATTAAGGTCTTTTATTTACTTATTTTCCAAAGCAAACAGAGCAGTTGTCCATTTTTATCACATAGAATGTATAAATATATGGACGCAGTCACCGTGACGTCACCCATTGGTTTCTGAGGAGCGGGTTTGAAGCTCAAAATAGCCGGCTCTGGCTGTGGCCATCTTGGCAGTGCCTGACTCTGCCCAACTTCTGGCCAATCAAAAATGGGCAAAGAGGTGGGCCAAATGAAGCCTGGTTGCTTAAACACGCCCACCTCGCTCGAAGCTGCTAAGTTAGCTAAGGCTAACAAGCTACTACTTTGGCTAGCCCTGTGGTGTTGGCTTCTCCCGCTCATGCTCCTGCTCATGCTCCTGCTTGGTGCCAGCTCCCTCACGAAACAAAATATCCAAAAGGCACAAACATGGCTGAGAGGTCAGGTTCAATGACTTGCGAATTAGCTAAGATGACACCTAGCAGACAGCCAGCGGCTAATTAGCCACCTGTGATGGCGCCACCTGTCACTCAAAGTGACCACGCCCTTAATTATGCGCAACTTTAAGTTTTAAATTTAAATGGATGAGTTATTAAAAAAAAAATCACCCCCTGTACAGTTGTCATGAAAGGGGAAATTAGCTATAGAGACCAAAACCGTTATTTGTGCCAGGCTGTAAACATGTTTATTTCTGCTGTAAAGTTGAGCATTTTAACATGGGGATCTATGGGGATTGACTCGCTTTTGGAGCCTGCCTCAAGTGGCCATTCAACGAACTGCAGTTTTTGGCACTTCCACATTGGCTTCACTCGTCCTTCCTGGAGGTTGCTGCTTGGTATATATATCAAATGCCCTTCAAAATGGCAACATGCTAATGAGTGCCCTGAGACCTAAAGAGAATTGAGATAGCCTACAACCCCCAAAATGAGTCAAAACTTCTTTAGCGTCTCCATCCTCCTTGTCGTTCACAGACTTTTTCGGAGCCTGACTGGAGCTCACTTGAACTCACCACTTTGAAATGAGCATTTTCATTTATTTCACTGCCATCCATGGGGTGAACTTGATTTGCATAGATGCCTTCCACACACCCTCACCTTATGCATAATTGATACAACTGTCATCTCCCCAACCATAATAACATCATTCCAAAGGGAGCAGGGAGAAATGAATCTTGGCATTTGAAGGTCTCGAGTGAGATTAAGATATCTCCTGAGCTGTCGCCCAAAAATACACATAGAGTGTGTCAGACGTCAGATCAATATTGTCACTTTTGCTGGATTTTCTTAATGACATTCAATATTGATTTGGGTGAAGCGTTTGAACATGTTTTATTTATTTATTTTTTGTAATTTATATGTTTTACCTTGCCTTGTCCCTTTAGACTTACTGCATGTTTAATTAATCAATTATGACTCATTGTGTTCCCATTTATGCTGCAGTCTTATCAAACTAATAAACATTACATCATGTCCTTTCTCTGCTGCCCACATCATACGGACTCATTTTGTCTTCTGACTTTGTTGGAGTGCTGAAAACACCAAAAGGCTCAAACTGAAACTACTGTTTTGAGTAATCATCAACAAACAAGTGGGTGTGTTTACCAGCTTAAAGACTGAAGTGTCAGAACATGTGGTATGCTTCCCCATATTCATATTCCCCATATTCACTTTACAAGCAAACTCTTCTAATCCTGTCTGCTCTGCATGTACACAGTTGTCACTCATGCACCTGTTGTGTTTTAGTCAAAATAAAAACACTGTGTTATTGGCTAAACGAATCTTGTAAGGCCCTACTCCTTGAATAAATGCTGCAAAGAAGCAAA